GCGGCCGCAGGCTCTGTAGAGCTCTCCAAGCGAGCACAACAAAGCAGAGCTTTTCCAACCGAGGTGGAATTCTTTGTCTTAACGCATCTCCAGCGGCTCCGTGGTCTGCTACTTGTTTGGTGGGGGAGATGGCCTGCTTTGCAGAATGTCATTCCCCGTTCTCCGACAGAGCTAGCGGGAGGCACTGCCGTTTCTAACACTTACCTTGATGTTATTAGAATCTGTGAGGAACATGGTGAAGCGATCAATTCCCATGCCCCAGCCAGCTGTAGGAGGGAGGCCGTACTCCAGCGCGGTGCAGAAGTTTTCGTCAATGAACATGGCTTCGTCATCCCCCGCAGCTTTTGCCTAAACGAGGTGAAGGAGATCTGTGATGTTACTCACTCTCATTGCTCATACTCACTTTGAAATTTACTATCGAGCAAGTCCGTTAACATCAGTCTATTTCCCTGGGTCTGGCAATTGTTTAATCCTCTCAGGCGCTGTGAAGCCATTAGAGAGAGTAGGAAGAACAGGAAATCCATTTCTGCAGGCTGCATCATCTGACCTCAATCACGTGTGGGCACGCATGCATTCATGGATGCGTAGGCCTAATTAATAACAAAACCTGTTTGCGTCCCGCCTTTCTGAGGCTCATCTAGAGAAAGCTGGTACTATACATTTGCAGGCCTAACAGTGTCCAGTCTGCAGCTCCATTCTGTAAGCCAATTTAAGATAGTAATATCTCAGTTCAGGAAACGAGTCTTTCTTACACACCATTCAAACTCGTTCGGGACACGAGCATTTATTTAAGAACCTGGAAGTATGATGATGTATGACTACATCAATGCTTAACTGGGGAAAAATAACTTTCAACCCGAGCAAGACAGAGGAAACGCTTTGCACATTTGCTTTTTTCCAGATTAGCACCTCAGGTCAGATAGAAGGGAAGATATTCCAAAGCAAAGTCGCACTGCTAAAAAACTAATCGACAGCAGCGTTTGGACTTGTTTACCTTAGAGAGCAAGGCTTCTTTCGAAGGAATTAAGTTTCAATGACAGGCTTCCACTTGAGTGAGAAGCACTCGCTCAAAGTAGTGACAACCCTTTTCAGCAGCAGGGACGAACGACAGGTTTGGAACAGACATAGGAAATACTCTTTGCTTATGTGCCTGTTTCGTGGATTCACTACCGGCAAGACACCCATACCTTGGCCTGATCCTCAAAAAGCTGCCGCTGCCGGAAAGGATCGTTAAGTTCTGTGTACGCATTGCACACCTCCTTCTTCATTACAAAGAGTTCAAAGCGTTCTGTTAGTCCCCGATGAGAGCGATGCCTGTGCAAAGATGATAAAACAACCGCACCTTAAAATAAACATCTTTACAGGAGCAAAGAGGACTGTCCACACTTAGCAGTGGCTGCTGCCAAAACTTCAAACCACTAAGCATCAGCACACCTCTGCCCTGGACGATGGGTTTCACAGCTCAGGAACCAACCTTGGCTGGTGCCAGAATTCACAAACTGCTATACAACATCAAAATCTCTGTTTTCACATGTGTGACTTTATTTTGCTTT